AGGCATCTGGATGGGTACATGAATAGGAAGGGTTTAGAGGGATTTGAGCCAAATACTGGTAAATGGGACTAGACTAATTTAGGATATCTGGTTGGCATGGACGAGATGGACCGAAAGGTCTGTGTCTGTGCTGTACATCTCAATGACTCGAGAGCAAAGCGCTGATGAAGCAGGAGCACCATTCAGCGATATAAACTAGACAGCCATTATTAAAGATCGAGGGAAGGAGTGAAGATCAACTGAGAGAAGGGGTGGTGCGATGAGGTGGTGACAGAAAGTTTTTGCAGCATAAATTCACAATCAGCTTATAAAGAGTTAATTTCTAACTTGCCTCCCTCATGCTGTGAGTATTGTGAATTACCCACCCAGTAGAGGAGCCCCTTGATGTTCCTCCCATTGACCTTGATGGAAATTAAATACAAAGTTAGAATACCCCAAATTTATGAATTTCTGCAAGAAATCTAATTCACATATGAATGAATGAATACTTCCTGCCTTCATGAATCTACATCTGACCTCTCAAATCATCTGGTCTTATTATGCAAAGGTGTTTGTTCACACCTGGTGCAGTCTAACACTCATCAATCAACAGATGAAACATTGCATTTTTTTTCTTTCTGTTTGACTTGCATTAATTTCCCATTAATTTAGTAGCTAAGGCATGAGCTGGTAGATGGAATATTTCTTCATGATCTATCTATTTGGCCCCCGTGTTGAAACAAGCTTTTGTTGATATATCAGCTTTCATAATTTCAGAACATCTCAAAGTAAATTACAGTACATTGCAGGAGCAAATGTGACAGCCAAGTTACACAAATTTGGCTCCTACATGCAACAACGATAGGTTACTGCAGTGATGTTAGCAGGGGGCCAAACATCAGTCTGGACACAGGGAAGATCTCCTTTGTTTTCCTTTGTGAAATACGATCGTGGGATCGTTTACGTCCAACTGAGAAAGCAGAGACGGCCTTGGTTTAGCCTTTCATTTGAAAGAGTAAAGTTGTTTATCTTTCATCCAAGCCACAAAGCAGCTCCCATAGAGCATTACTGTGGCATGTGAGCTTGTGGACCTGCAGAAGTTGGAAGAAGCATAACAAAAACAGGAGAATAGAGACACAATGTAGGTTAAAGAAACAATGGACCATAGACTCCAGGCATACTACCAGTCATATGCTCTCACCCGAGTGATCTGATCTTCTGATGCTTTTTGAGTTCTTCAACCAAGATATGAACTCCTTGGTCTGTGATCTGATTTACACTCAATCTGTTTCATTTAAAAAAGATATGTCAGTTGCAGACTAGTTTGTCATTAACTATGGTTCCAAGAAAAGATGCTATTTCAAGCCTAACATCAAGAGCAAAACTGAATTGTACCAGACTTATGGTGATGGACTAGGAGGCAGGAGGTAATATGTGGAAGGGGAAAGCATGAGGGTGAAAGCAAAATATCTTCCCATCACTTTAACATAAGACCAGCAACTGGAAGGCCAGGAGAATGACGAGTTGAGCCAGTTAAACATCTGATTAAGTGTCGCTTCCCACCCTGCCTACACTTTGCCACATCAGAAGGACCCACTATCACATGGGGAGACTGCCAGGTTTAACCCTGGCATATTCCCAGTCGATTTCAAGGGGTTGAGTTGGCTTTTTTTGGTTTAATGACTGTTTCGTGACTCTCAGAAGGGAACGCTTCCAGCAATGCTCACCTCCGCACAAGTGGCGAAGGTCACACTATTGGATTATGCTCGTGCTGGATACTTGCTGAACAGAACTTGTCTCATCTTTGGGGTGTATTGGGGCACCTCCTTCCTCATGCTGCACCTTCAAGTGTGGCCATACCACTGCAAAAACTGCCATTCCTATGAAAGACCCAGCAAATCCAGAAGGCAAGTTGTCATTTTCTATCAGGCAGCAATCCTGTTGGCAGTCTATTCATTGGGCATCAATTTCAAAATGCCATTCAAGGACCCTGCTGTCATGGCATCAGCTACTAGAAACTCACCCCATAGCTTTGTTTGAGAAGTCAAAATACAAGATAAACTACCCATATAAACTATTTAATAATACTACATGCTGAATAATATGTTAGAAGGATAATATACCTTAGCTTGGATATACAGGGTATAATTCCCAAGTTGATATGCAACTCAATATGAAGAATAATAAAGACAATTGAAACATTAGAATCATAGACTAATACAGCATGGAAACAGATCCCTTGGTCCAACCAGTCCAGGCTGACCATGTTCCCAAACTAAACTAGTCCCACCTGCCTGCACTTGGCCTATATCTGTCCAAAACTTTCCCTTTCATGAACTGATCCAAATGTCTTTTATACATCTTTTAAAAATAAACATCCGCCATTTTCTCTGGCAGTTCGTTCCAAACACTAACCACTCTCTGTGTAAAAAAGTTGCTCCTCATGTCCTTTTTCGTTCTTTCTCCTCTTATCATAAATATATGCCCCCAGTTTTGAATTCCACCACCCTAGGGAAAAGACCCTTGTCATTCACCTTATCTATACCCTTCATGATTTTATAAACCTCAATAAAGTCACCTCTCAACCTCACATGCACCAGTGAAAAAAGTTCCAGTCTTTCCAGTTTATTTTTATATTTCAAACCCTCCATTCTCAGCAACACCCTGGTAAATCCTTGAATGGGGAGGCAATGGCCTATTGGTATTATCACTGGACTGTTAATCCCAGAGACCCAGTTAAAGTTCTGGGGACCTGGGTTCAAATCCCTCCATGGCAGATGGTGGAATTTGAATTCAATAAACATCTGGAATTAAGAATCCAATGACGACTATGAATCAATTGTCGGGAAAACCCCATCTGGTTCACTAATGTCCTTTAGGGATGGAAACTGCTATCCTTACCTGGTCTGGCCTACACGTGACTCCAGATCCACAACAATGTGGTTGACTCTTAACTGCCCTCTGGGAAATTAGGGATGGGACGCCTAGCCAGCAATGCCCTCATCCCATTAATGAATACAATAAAAAATCTTTTCTGAGCCCTCTCCAGTTTAATAACATCCTTCCTTTAACAGGGTGACCAGAAGTGCACACAATACTCCAGAAGGGGCCTCACCAACGTCCTGTTAAACCTCAACATGATGTCACAATTGCGATACTCAAAGGTCTGAGCAATGAAGGCAAGCGTGCGAAATCACCCTGTCTACCTTTGAAGCAAATTTCAAAGAATTACGTACCTGAACCCCTAGGTCACTTTGCTCTACAACATTAGTCAGGGCCCTACCATTAATTGTCCTTTCTGTGTTTGTATTACAAAAACATAGTGGATAAAAGTTTGCGCAGAGAAATGTGAAGTGACATACTTTTCTGCGAAGAGTGAACTGAGACGATATAAACTAAATGCTACAATGTTAAGGGAAGGTCAGTAGCAGAGCATCCTCGAGGCATAAGCACACAAATTGTTGCTGAGTACAGGACAACATGAGAAGGCCATTCTTTTAAAGAAGCAAGATCAAGCAGAATCTTTAACATTGGAAATAGAGGAAGGAATAGTATATAGGGGCAAGGCATGTGTGCTAAATCTTTATAAATTCTCTGATTAGACCGCTGCTGGAGTACGCTTTCTAATTCCAGACAACAAGCTTTAGTGAGGTTGTCAAGAATGTCAGCAAGGATGAAGGACTGCAGTTATTGTGGGGGAAATTGGAGTAGCTAAGGTTGTTCTTCATAAAGCACAGAAGATTAAAAAGAAACTTGACTATGAACGGTTTTGATGGAGTAATTAAAGAGAAACTGTTTCCAGTGGCAGAAAGAGCAGGAACAGAGACACTGATTTAAGGATGTGTGCAAAAAGCAAGATTTCTTTTCTCAGTGAGTTGCTGCGATCTGGAATGCATTGCATGAAATGATGGTGAAACTCGATTCAGCAGTGACACTAAAAGCATATTAGGTAAATTCAGGATCATGGGGAAAATGCAAGGGAGTTGAATTAATTGGATAGTTCTGTCAAAGCATTTGCAGAGGCACAGTGGCTGAATGGCCTTCAATATTATCTTTCGATAATAAATAAAAATTGGTCAGGACACTGTTTTTGAAATAATACCACCATCTTTGAATTGAATCTTTTACAATCATGTGAGAAGACATCTAGGCCAGAGTTGGTTTAATGTCTCAAGTGAAAGATGGCACTTCTGACTATGCGGCGTTTACAATGTAACAAATTGTTAGTGTAGCTCAACAGGTCAAGTGGCTGGAGTGCAGCTTGAACCCTTGACCTTGGGTCTAAGAGCACCATCAATTGAAGCTGAGGCTGGCATCTTAAAATTAAGGCTAGTATTGTATTGCAAGGAGAATCCTACCATCCTTAGTAGTAATAGTTTTATTGAAAATAAACAACATCTCAGTTCCATGTGATGGGTACAGAACATACCATAATCTGGATATGAAGCTTACCTGAGGACTGTGAGTTGTCTGAAACAGGAGACCATTTGCTCTAAACCATAATCATTGATGTTGTTGTTGTCCATCTCCAGTGCAAGGGGTGTTCGGATATAACGCAAAATAAATGCAAGAGCGCCACAGTCAACAGAAGAAACATTGCAGTAGTTCAGCTTTATATAATCAGCACAGATCCCTTTGGCCGCCATTTTGGCTGTTGCTCCATTCTGCATTTCAAATATGTACCTCACCAGCCATACGAAATGTGGTAGCACATGAACCTTACAGCCATCTTCAAGGTGCAAGCGAGGAAGATTTTTCAACTGTGTCTTCGTACAGTTGGACAGGTAAGATGCCAGCAGTGATTGTTTCTTCTCAATGTTCATTGGAGATGCGAGGTTTAGCAACAGGTCAGTGTTGCTGTTCGACAGCAATCCACAGAGGAACCACATGGTAAATTGCAGATGTTTGCTGAAAGGCTTGAGGACATGTGTTGAGGAATACTTTGTAGGCCTCAAGATAGCTAAAACCATATCACGTGGCTTGTTGGGTGACAGTTTTGGTATGTTATTATTGTTGAAGAGTGCAAGAAAGTCGCATGGACAGATCTCATCATCCAGAACTAATAAAAATGCAGTAAAAAATGACTGAAGTGTTAAGTGAATATACTCATATGTTGATTGGTTTCCATGCCCATTATAATGACCAACAGTTTTGATGAAGCCCATCTGTAAATCTTCTTCCGAAATATTTGCTGCTGTGACTGTCTCCTGACTAAACACAAAATTTCCATTTTCAATGCCTTTTAGAGCCAGCTTACCGATTCGCATGAGAGTTTCCTTTTTGGTTTGAAACAGGTTTATCCGGCTTCTTGCACTTTTCTCGTTTGGATTGGCCTGAGAAGAATGGTTGAGGAAGACTTCAGTCATCATGAGGTAAATATCAGTGAGCATAACAGAATGTGATAACCACTGGGAACTACAAGTGGACTGTATGCAATCATAACATTTAAATATAATCCAACAAAAGAGTGGCACTGAACATAAATTGCTCAGGTGAGGGTTTGTCTCCAGATGGGCCAAAACCACATTTTGCTGGGCCTCACTTTTGAAAAACTTCTTCAAATATTGCAATAAATGGTCCTTGGAGAAGCCCTTTAGTGTCACTCTCTTTCTCACTATTCTCAATGGTAGGTTTATGCCAGTTCTTGCTGTCAATAATTTTTTGGAACCTTTCAATAACTTTCCATGAAGAAGGCTCATTAAGAGGGCAACAGGATGCAAAGGGTCAAAGGGTGAAGAGATTACAGGGATATCACTAAGGTTGCAGTCAACATTAATTTCATCAAACCCGTCCAGTGTGAAGAGAACAGAAGCTGGGTGTTGTTGGATATAACTAAATATCTCATCGGAGTCTTTGTCAGGGTAACAGTTGTATTTAAACAGTAGATCTCTGAGAGAAATCTTATCTTCCTTTCTGAAGCTATTAAACATCTGGCATCTAAATTTGAAAAGGAATTTAACATCAACACAGAGCTCTCCTTTGGACCACAGGTTCTGAAGTCTCTGGAGCAGGATGGTCTTACCAACCCCAGCATCACCAGTTACAAACACTGTCTCTGCATCCTCATTGATGATGCCTGTGTCACTGAACAAATCCTCCAAGTTGGAAATGGTTCCTAGGATCTCATTTGTTGCATTAATCAATTCCATGAGAGTCTCAGTGTAAATATCTTCAAACAGGGTATCTTCCTTTTGGACATATGACAACGTGAACCTTGTATCTCTTTGCAATTCTGATCTGAGTTTTTCAGCATATTGGCAAACTGAAAGACATGTACAATACAATACAGTTGTGAGAAATTTTGCCACAAACATATTATTAATGATTTAATTGTGGAAAGCTTTACACCAGTTCTTGCTGTCGATAATTTTTTCAAACCTTTCAATAACTTACCATGAAGAAGGCTCATTAAGAGGGCAACAGGATGCAAAGGGTCAAAGGGTGAAGAGATTACAAGGATATCTTCTATGGGTACTTTCTACGGGGTCTTGTTGAGGCACTCTCATTGGCCGGCTGGCGATCCAACGACTTACCAATCAGGGAAGACCCATCAAACCACATACCGATGGAGAAGCTATGGGCAGACCTTCCCCTGGAATCAAGATCCTGGGGATGGGGAACCCATCCAGAGAGAGCTGTTGGCTAACCAAAGGCTGCATGCTCAGCAGCCATCAGCAGAAAGCCATATCCGCTGGCACACCCAGCATTCCAGTATTATGAAGTAGAATCACAGAATCTGTACAATGCAGATAAAGGCCATTTGGCCCATCGAGTCTGCACCAAATAGCATCCCACTTAGATTCCCCAAGCCCACCCCCACGACCCCCATAACCCCATGGCTAATCCACCTAGCCTGTTCTTTCCTAGACACTGTGGGGCAATTTAGCACGTCCAATCCACCTAACCTGCACATCTTTGGACCGTGGGAAAAACCTCAGCATCCAGCGGAAACTCAAGCAAATACGGGGAGAACGTGTAAACTCCACACAGACAGTCACCCAAGGCTGGAATCAAACCCGGGTTCCTGGTGCTGTGAGGGAGCTGTGCTAATCACTGAGTAACTGTACCCAGAACAAAGGTAAGTAATGTCGATTTGGTGGATGGTGGGATTTCTTGGGTTGGGAATCATTGAAAGAAGGGTGCAGGGTGCTTCTTCCACCAAGTGCTGATTGCCTTAGACCGAGAGAATCTGCCCCACTACAGGCGACCACAGGGTGGCATTTATCAGGAACTCCATATGGTGATAGACTGACCTGCAGCTGGGTAAATCCCAGCAAGAGCTGGCTGAGGCCCTTAATTGTTGGTGGAGCAGGGAGGTTGACCATGGGCTATTCCACTTTGAACTTAATTTTACTGGCAGCAGGAAGGCACTATTCCACCTTATTAAGTGCCCTTCCCACCCATTTCCAAGATCACTACGTCCAGGAGTAACATATGCCCCAACCCATCACCCCATCATACTCTTTCCTTGAACATAGAATAAAATCTTTTTGATCATTGGAAAAAGGAAATATAAAAATCCATAGCTGTGTATATTGATATCTTTTGCTGAAATCTACTGTGATGGCAGGTCTTCTACTAATAATCTATGTATTGATACAAACATTGTCCACTGATTTGTTTTTAAAGTTGACTCAGATTGCTGACAGTAATTACACAGCCTGATCAGTTTAATAGAAGCTCAGTAATTTTGTTACATTTTTCTATCAAGCTTTCTTTGAATGTTCTGGGGATTTCATTACAAAATTTCGTATATCTATTTTGGTATTATTATGCCAGTGATAGTAGGAACTGCAGATGCTGGAGAATCTGAGATAACAAGGTGCAGAGCTGGATGAACACAGCGGGCCAAGCAGCATCAGAGGAGCAGGAGAGCTGACGTTTCAGGCCTAGACCCTTCTTCA